TAATGATCTCCCACACCTGCTCGTCTGGTACAATTTTAATTAACACTCCAAGGAGGTTTGTCAAGAGTAATCAAAAACATTGTCGCTTATAAAGCTGTGGCAAGAAATCAATAGTTTTCATCAGAAAAGGTGAGGTCTGGCATAACTGAACCATTTAATTGCTTCATTCCAATAAACAAAAACTGCACATTTTAATGACTTGATTCTCGAGATCAATACCCCACCGCGGATTGCATTAAACAGCAACATGTGGGGGGATATTCGGAGTCATTTCCATTCCGAAAGCAGCATTCCTCTTCTTTATTTCATCCCGAGTGGCAATCGGTGGCTGCTCCTCTGCGGGGCTATGATTTATATCCGATGAGTGACCTCTAGGGCGGTAAGACTAAAACGGGTGACTAGTTCTCAATGGTAAGCTCCTGGCACTTGACAAAGTGCCCGAAGCAGAATGAATTTACTTCTCTTTTCCTCAATCATCAACAGGGTCTGCCCTGACCCCCGTTCTGACTCCTATAACAAGATCTCCTGTCGCTGCCTGAAAAATTTACTGTCGCCTCTCCTTCTCATTGAGCCCGAGTGAGTACTTCTGTCACCTTCAGTGAACTGCGTCGGCAGGAGATTTAACTAAACACCAGTCCTAGTTTAAAAACTAAATAAGTGCGTTTCCTATAAAGCAGGCGGCGGCCAGAGGCCTCCGTTTCCAAACGGCGTGAATTTCTAAAATGTTAAATCTTTCTTTGTGCCGCCTTTAATGCAGAGCGACATTGGGGGTCGCAAACTCATTTATTCGTGCAGTGCCATGAAGGGGAAGACCTTGTTAGAACCGCGGCCCTTAAGAACTATCTGTTTACCGCTGGTTGCCATTAGCAAGCTGAGATCTACATAGCATTTAAGTCGTTTTGAAAGTTGCTCGAAAATGGAAATTCTGAACTGTTGAAAATATTGCACATGATATGCATAAACGGAATAAATACACAGGCATACAAGAGGAAATCAGATGAAACATTTTAAGCCCTCCAATGCACCCAGGCATCCAACTTCGTAGCACCATTTTAAAATATATTGTCAATAAAGACTTTTCAACAATGACTTCAAAAATATCCAGATATTAAGTATCAGTGTATTATAACATTCACCAGTAAAACATACACAGAAAGCATAAACCCACATTTCTGTAATGTCCCTGATTTTAATAATCAGCGTAAAATAGTTAAGCAATCAAAATGAACATTTGCAAACCCCCGTGTCAACAACGAGGCAATTAAAAGACTGAAGTTTGATGCTTTCCTGCATCACACTAAAGCCTTACGCAAAATTTCCACTCCCTCTTTAATTTTCAATTCTTCTACCCTCCCTGCTTCACAGCTCCTGGCTATTGGCTTTTACAATCTGTCCCTAGGGAGTGAGGAGTTATTACCCCTGTCGATGGAAGAGAAAGGGATGTTATTCCCTTGTCACCCTCTTCGGCTCCAGCAGATTCCAAGCACTGATGTATAGCTTTCATTGGAGAAAGGCGGCCAAGATGCTCTCAGTCCTCAGGCCTGTCAGATCCATCTACCTGTGCCACTGATATTACTTACTGGAGTCAGAGTGACACTCGGTGTCCCCAGAAGCAACCGAAAAAGTCCAGGTACAAACACCTCACGGGCCTTTCTGCTCCTGGGGGTGAGCACCACAGCCGACCCCCGGGTCTCCTGCAGAAGGGGCGCTATACCGTCGCATCTTTGGCATAACGATACATGCAAATGTTTATCCGCCAAATCCTTCGGAATTGTACCAAGTTCATTTTTTAGGGCACGGAGTATAAAATAAACATTGTGACAACTTACTTTCGAAAAAGCCGAGGGAAGCTAATTAGAAACGTTTGGGATGCTGCCCCACTCATTCACGCTGTTTTCAACCATTTCATTCTCCTCGTTGCTGTGATTTCATCATTATATCGTGACAGTTAAGAGGCTGGAAATCTCTACTTAACTCACCATTTTCAGGCCCACATTTCTCTCTCTCATATTTTTTTTTTATCTTTAAAGATTGACACCCGGGCTAACAACTGTTGCCAACTGTTGCCAATCTTTATTTTTTTTTTCTGCTTTATCTCCCCAAACCCCCACTGTACACAGTTGTATATCTTAGTTGCAGGTCCTTCTAGTTGTGGGATGTGGGACGCCGCCTCAACGTGGCCTGGTGAGCGGTGCCATGTCCACGCCCAGGATCTGAACCCTGGGCCGCCGCAGCAGAGCGTGAGAACTTAACCACTCGGCCACGGAGCCGGCCCCTCTCTCTCATATTGAAAATATGAATAACTATTTCCATTAATTGTCAAAAAAAATCACCATTTGCAAAATGATTAAAAATGTTTATTATCAAACAATAATACTTTACATGGCTAGAAAATACATATTAATTTTTAGAATTCAGTCATGAGTTCCCCATCCTAAGAAATGTCTAGTCAGGAATCTAGGCCATGAGACTTTTCATACAAAAGCATGTAGAGCATTTTCTTCTTTTTGTCTTTGGCTTCACCCCACGTCTGTCCTCTCCCGACCTGTCTCTGGCCTGAGGTGGGTAAGCAGTGGGGCTCAGCAAAATCGTCCGCATGTGGAGCCTGCTCTGACCTGCCTGTGAGTTAGGCGACCCATGGCCTGGCGAGGTCAAGGTCAGAGCCACTGTGGGCTGGGCAGTGGACTCCAAGATCCTTTGATCATAAGCCCTTAGCAGGAGAAAGTTTTGAGCTGACACCCTCAACATATGCATATTTACTCATCTCTAAATTATATACATCTACAGGTCCCAAATCCCCATCCGAAATCTCAGAACCAAATGTGCTTCCAAATTTCTCCGATTTAGGCAAGGTAATAGAGAGCATCCACGATCCGTCATACGACATTCCCACGGGGTCCTAGGACTCGGTAAGGAAACACATCAAGACTTCTGCAGAGAAACGTAGGATTATTCTGATGATGCGCACCAGTTGTGCTAAATAAAAGCTAGAAATCAATTCAGGTCAGTTCAGGCTGAGTCCCAAGTGAACCACAAAATCACTTCTGGCTTTCAGAGCTTTTCGGACACCAGGATCGTGGATAAGGGATGGTGGACCTTTACCTCCATATTAGGTATGGCAGAAAACACACGCCAAAAAGTAAATAAAAGGGAGATGAGATAAAAAGAGAAAAGGAAGCCCTAAAATTTTCCTTTTGTATGTCCACAGTGCACACACTTCATTTTGGAAAACTCTAGACACTAGGAAGACCCCTGTTCTTGAGCGAGGCTACAAGGGGTGCGTGTACAGTTGAAAATGTCCCTGGCAGAATGAGCTCATCTTCAGGATTCAGGGCCCCGGGACCATCCAGAGTTCTCCTCCCGTTACAGCAAATGCAAGCCTTCACCTCTTGCACAGTGAGAAGGGCCCAGCCAGTCCTCCCAGACCTTCAGCCCTTTAAGGATGCACAGCATCTCGGCAGGTAGACTTACCTATAATCAGGAGGAGAGAGGAGGGGTGCTCATGGCTTGCAGATACACTGGTGAATTGAAGAAAACAATTCTTCTGTCAAACGGATTTGTTTATTAATGACCAGACAACACGCTCCCATCGTTTAAACTTTGCGTTTGCTAAAACTCCTCCAAGCGGCGAGGATTAACACCAATTTTATTTCTCTAGAATGGACCCAGCTTTACCATTTCTGGTAGCAATATTTTAGTATGAGTCAATAATCTATTTCCCAGAGTGACCTCTGTTACCCCCAAGGGGCCCGGTGAATTGAGGAGTAAAAAAGGCTGAAGCACGTGGATAAAGGGGATGTTTTTTTACTTGAAATCCTCAGTGAAGTAAGGTTAAAATTGTAACATAAAGCACTTTCCACCAAGAACTACCATCCATCATAAGTGGCTCTTCCTTCAACCCTGATGGTCAAGTTCTCGTCCAGCCTTACCCACATTTTCTTTTCACAGGAAGAACCATAAGGAGGCCACATGAAGGATTAGGGATGTCAGGGAACACCCAGACCACTCCTCCTTGTGATAATTGCCTTTCCTCTACTTTCTTCCTCTGGCTTCCATTTATTCTGCCTCAGGATGTAGGACCACAAGGGCAGTGCTTGCCCATCACGGGTTGATATCCCAGTGACAGTCCTGAAAACTCAAGCAGAGAGTAGACCCCACCGCCCACCCCTCTCCCATCGCCCCCCATCCCTCTGGTTCCCCCCTGTAGGGCCCCGGGCCTTACGGGACAAAACAGAATCTTTGTTGATGAATGCAGAAAGTTTTAGGAATTCACACCAGCTGTGTTCTTATTCACAAATACCTCAGTTTGACCCTCGCAAGTACCAATTAAAGTAGGTATTACCAAAGCTGTTTGAACTCTAGTCAACATGACATGCCTGGAGGAATTCCATTTGCATATAATTTGTGCTTACTTAACGTCAGCGTTTATAAAAACATCCTGAGCCTCTTTTTCTTTTCAACCAAGAGAGTCTTTTTACACCCAGAATTTTGAGACACCCCCAAGAGCCCTAAGCAGCCTGAGGCCCATGTATAAAAACTGCCTTAAATACAGAATGTGTCCTAAAGGGCAACAAATGTGGAGACTTGCATTCTCCCACAAAGGTCTCCTGGCAAAAAGTGGGATGGATATTGTTTTTGTGTCTCTGTTGTGAAATGGATTTCTTAGCTTATTATGTTTTTGTCTCTCATTCATGTCACAGATTTAGAAAAAAAAAAAAATCCTCATAGTGTAAGGACAACGTCTGATTCAGACTGGATGGCCCGGTGAAATCACTTATGGGACATCTTCAGAGTGTCAGACTGATTCCAGACACATTCTCAGCAGGTAAGTGAGTCACTCCCATGGACGGAGAGATGCACAAATAAATAATCCATCTCGTCCACGGTGGTACCTTGACTTCTAGAGCAATGCTGGCCAATAGAAATTTGCCAGCCATATTACATACAAAATTTTAAATTTACTTGTAGCCACATTAAAAAAAAAGTAAAGAGAAACGTGATATTTTAATAATATATTTTATTTAATCCATAATATTATTATTTCAACATATGATTTACATTAAAAAATTATTAATGAAGCATTTTATGACCTTTTTTCATCCTACATCTTCAAAACGCAGTCTATTTTTTATGCTCACAGCCTATCTCGATTTGAACTGCAAATTTTCGTAGGAAATAGTGGCTATGTATTTAGGTTTCGTAAAATCTAAAGTTGGAAATGTAGGCTCACATACTCAAGTCGTTCCGAACCGTACTTAAAGGTTTTCCAATAAGAGACACGAGTTACCGGTTTTTTCATTTTCATTTTCATTAATTAAAACTTAAAAATCAGTTTCCTAGTTACAACAGGTACCTTTTAAGCGCCCAGTGGCCTCCTGTGGCTGGTGGGTTCTGAGGGGGGACCTGGCAGTCCTGGGGGCGCACGTGAGGACTGGGAGCCGCCAGTGAGCCCCACCAGTCCTCCCCCCCGACGGCCCCTCATCCCAGGAGCCAACCCAGGTCCAGTTACGTCCTCAGCTCTCTGAGCGAGATTCCCAGCTACCATACTGTCTGTGGGATATTTGCGGGGATGACTTCCCTTGCGTCTTACCAGGTCCCCTTATAAGACTCCGTCTCAGTCAGCGTTTGATCAGGAAGCAGAGCCACGATGAGTGTCGTGGACTAAGGATTTATTGCAGGGCACACACATCGCACGGGTGGGGTGAGTGGTGAAAGATCTTAGAAGTGTCACTAACCAGCCCTCCTGAAGCTTTGGCATAGGTGGACAGTCGGGGCTTCCAGGGCCCTCTAGAAACCAGGCACACAGCTGCTCCCGGCAGGCGTGAAGACGAGCTGGCGGAGAATCTTAGAAGGCTGCTGCCTGCACCTGGCGCTGGGCCCGCCCCTGCTCTTGTGGGCATGGCCGGCTGGACGGCAGAAGAGCCAGAAGCCGAGTGGAGGAGAGCAAGCATCAGCTGGAAACTGCCAGTCGCTCCGTGTCTGTCCCTCACGCTGGCCGTCTCCGCCGACCCACAGAGAGCAAAGGCTGCTGGCTCACTTCGCCTTCTAAATCACGCACCACTTTCTCTCTCTTTCAGTCGGTTCTTCCCAAAGCCACACAGGGAAGGGGACTCTGGGAATCGAAGGTCCAGCTCAGCCAAGCCAACACCACACGAAACCACCACAGTCTCCGTGAAGTTTTTCTCAACTCTCAGCATACAGTCAAGCATTTCTTCTAAGAAAAGAGTTTGCTTTTGCCTCATGGACACCATGAACCATCTAACTCATCACTTGTCTCTCTTTGTGGTGACTGCTAGGAAGCTCTGAACTAGATTTGCAGACCCCTTCTCACAAGTGTATGGGTCAAGACATGCATTTTGCATGCTAATGTCCCAGCTTTATTTTATTTTTCTAGTTGCCCCCTCTTCTCTCGTTTATTTGTGTAATCCTGTTATGCGTGTTTTTACAAGTTGTGCCGAATGATTTTTCACAGGGAAAGTATATAAATAAAGGGATGGATGGAGAAATAGAGACAGGCAGACAGAGGCACAGATGGACCTGGCTGCAGCCGACCCCTCCAAGCTTGTCGGACTCCACTCTTCTCTCGCTGCTCCAGCTAAACCGGCCTCGTTCCTCAAACACACCAACCTCCTCCCATTTCATGACCACTGGGGTCACGGTGCACCCTCCCAGAAGCATGGTTGGTTCCTTTGGCTACATGAAGACTGCTCTATCTAAAATAGAACCCCCCCACCGACACTGTTACTCTCTGTTCTATCATGCTTTTTCCTCCAATTTTTGTTTTAAAATTACCTACACTTTGATGTTCTCTCAAATAATTTACCACTAATAATTTTTTCAAAAGAAGTTGGGGGGGGGGGTGTACCATGTTCAATCAATTTTACTTATTCAAATGGTTTGGGCAAAGGGTAAGTTCTCTTTTCATGTCTCTCCTCCCACCAGAAGAGCAGTGGTAGGGGTTTTCATAAACATTTGAGCTTGTGTCATTATTCCCTGCTGCTACGGTGTCGGGGGGAAGACTGGCACAGTTTGGGTTTATTTGGGAGTTAGTTGTTCCAAACCTGTGCTGTTGGCCAGCCCCATCCCCATCCAATTCCTTTTTTTTCTTTTTGAGGAAGATTAGTCCTGAGCTAACATCTGCTGCCAATCCTCCTCTTTTTGCTGAGGAAGACCGGCCCTGAGCTAACATCCGTGCCCATCTTCCTCTACTTTATATGTGGGATGCCTACCACAGCATGGCTTGACAAGTGGTGCCATGTCCCCACCCAGGATCCAAACCGGAGAACCCCAGGCCACCGAGAAGCAGAATGAGTGAACTTAGCCGCTGTACCATGGGGCCGGCCTCCCCATGCAATTCTTTTAACAGAGAAATCAAAAGCGGAATATGAGGAACCTGAAAGTGTTTTCACAAATGGTGTTTGCCATCCACGTCAATCCTATTTTTTCAAGGGAAATTTTAATATTCCTTCTCTTGATTGGAATGATACAAGACAAGTCTCCGGCATATTCTAGCAACTATCCCTGGAAATTCTAACGGCCAAGAAGGCTGGTGCTTATTTTTAGTAGCATGTAACTTTCACATTAGATGTTGCCCTGACCCACGTTCATACCACAAATTAAACAATTTGAGAATATTTGTATTAAGATCAAGTTAAAAAAAACTCATTAAAAACATATCTATAAAAGGATAAATACTGTATGATTTCACTTACATGAGGTTCCTAGAGTAGTCCAATTGACAGAGACAGAAAGTAGAATGGTGGCTGCCAGGGGCTGGGGGAGGAGAATGAAGTTGGTGTTTAATGTGGACAGAGCTTCCGTTTGGGAAGATGAAAAAGTTCTGGAAATGGATGGTGGTGATGGTTGCACAACAATGTGAATGCGCTTAATGTCGCTGAACTTACAACACCTAAAAATGGTTAAAATGGTAAATCTTATGCATATTTTACCACAATAAAGCTGTTGAGTCTGCCCCAGTACACGAAGGTACTTGGCCTGCCTTTATACTTTATAGTAGGCTGGATAATGGCCCAAAAAAGACATCCACGTCCTAAGTCCCTTGAATGTGTGAATGTTACTGTATTTTGGCAGAATGGAGTCTGCAGGTGTGATGAAATCAAGGATGTTGCGATGGGGAAATAATCCTGGATTGTCTGGGTGGGCTCTAAATGTGACCACAAGTGTCTTTATAAGAGGAAGGTAGAGGAGATTTGACAAAGAAGAGAAGAAAGCCATGGGACAGAAGAGGAAGCAAGCAAAGTCAGAGAGAGTCGATGCTCTCCAGCCGTCTTTGAAGATGGAGGAAGGGGACGTGGGCCAAGAACGCAAGGAATGCAGCTCCTGAAGCTGGGAAAGGCAAGGAAATGGATTCTTCCTGGGGGCCTCAGAGGGAGCGCGGCTCTGCTGACACCTTCATTCCGGTCCCAGTGAAACTGATTTCACTCTATAGTCTCCAGAATTGTAAGAGAATAAATGTGTATTGTTTTCAAGCCATCCAGTTTGTAGTAATTTGTTACTACAAATTGTTTGTAGTAATTTGGTAGCCATAGGAAACTAATAGATACATATATGATGCTCAGATATTTACATAACAAATGTCTTTTTTTTTTTTTGCAATACAGAATTATTAACTGTAGTCACCATGCTGTACGTTACATTCTCGTGAATTATTTATTTTATAACTGGAAGTTTGCACCTCATATTTTAATATTAAAACTGTATTTTTGATACAAAATGCTTTTCGTATTAGGTACATTCCCATTTTTTGTCTTAGAAAGTTTTGTATTAAGGGTATTATATTAAATGGTATTGGTATCTCTGAATTATAATCAGATAATTTCTATTTGAAAATTCAACATTTAAAATGCTCAGGAAAAACCTACCCGAAGCAAACTATTCCTGACTTACTTAGCACCTCAAATATTCTATTATCTCCCAAAGGGCATTTAAAACCAAAATCAGATTTCCTTCAAATGGAGGAGGCAAATAGAATATAAACTCCCTTGAATTTGCATTCATTCTAGTTTTAACACCCACTTACATAGGACTAGCTTCTTAGACTCGGGAACATTAACAGGACAGACCCTTAGTTCCCAGAGAAGGCCCTGAACCCTCCTAAAGCTTGGAAAAGCAACATGAAATCCATCGTAGGTCACCATGGAAGCCCCAGCACCGAAGACATCCTTCAAGTCTAAAGTAATATTTCGAAAACAGTTGGAGCTCTCAATACCCAAATTATGGAATTGTTTTGCACTTACATTTGTCAGGTTCCTGTCATTTCCAAGTGGTGACCATTGGTGCAAACCCAGAACGGGGTCCATCCAGTCAGTAACTCATTCCTTGCCTTCGATGCCAATGGCACCATTTTCACCAGTTGGAGGAGGTCTCCCCTCCATCTTCTGAAGAGGTTGAACCAAGAAACCACCTCTTCCACCAAGCTCTGCGCCTCCACCGGGAAACCTGACACAGGGATTGCGTAGAAACGTGTAAAATGTTGATACTGAACAGAGAAGCTAATAAAGAATACTAAGGGTCTCTACTAAATCATTAAACTCTGCAGATTATATCTCCTAATGCCACTTAAATATGTCCCGTTCTCTCCATTGCCACACTCATCACCTTAGCCTAAGTCATTAGGATTTCACCCCTGGTTAATTGCAAGATCCCACTTACTGATTTCTCTTCATCCTCCATCTTGGGCCCTTTCCGTTTGTTCTCCATTCAGCAGCCTGAACTCTCTGTACTAAATGCTAATCAGATCATATCGCCCATTCCACGTCCTACTGAAACCCTTTCAATGGCTTCTCATTGTTCTCAGTGGTGACATCAACACCCTTACCAAGGCCAGTAAAGGCCCTCTGAACCCGACCCTTCCATGGCCACCATTCTACCTCATCCTCCGGGCTCTCTGCACTCCGGCAACACTGGACACCTGCCAGTTTCCCAGATGCGCTGCGTTCCCACTCATTCTGAGGCGAATCCTTGCTCCACCTCCTCAGCCTGAGGACTTGGCCCCAGCTACCAACCCCGCTCTTCGCTGGGCTAATCGTGGGTGAGGGAGGAGTCACGAGGACGGAGCAGGTCAATGTTTTTAAAGCCCTGAGAGCAGCAGCCAGCAGCAGTGAGATCTAGCGCAATCGTTGCGACTGGCGTTAGTATTATTATCACTCCTCTCTTAGACCTCATTCCACGGATTCCCACGGCAGAGCTTCAGACCCCTCGGTCCAGGTCAGGCGTCCTTGTTGACGCACCCACGGAACCATGATCAGGAGAGCTCATCTCAATTTGTAATCATGCAACTTACTTACGTCGTTATTTAAGCCCATCTTCCTCATCCAAGTCCGAGAGGTCAAGGTCTGTGTTTCATCACTCTTATATCCATGGTGCCTGGCCCTAGTGTTGATAATACAATATGATATGATAATATGAGAAGTGTTGTATAAGTGCATAGCACTATATTTCTCAAATGGCTAGACTAATTTAAAATATAGTCTTAATATACAGACTGTGTGGCATATACAAAATTCACAGGGAGGAGCGCTGGGAAAGGACCAGCCAAGAGACAGTTAACGCAGTCAGCTTTTGCCACCTCAAACTCAGTGGCCTATACAAAATGTCAACCGAGTTTGAGGAGTCTAGGCTGCGCGCAGCTAAGTGACTCCGTTAGAGGCCCACATCAGCTGGACTTGGCCGTTGGTTGGGTATAGGCCTGCTCCACACGTCTCGTCCTCCCCGGCTCCATGGCTACCTGGAGGAGGCCCTTCTCGGGGTGGAGCACAAGATCTGAGTCCAATGCGCCAGTACGTTAAGGCTCTAGCTCATGGCACATCTACTACCAGTCCTTTGGCCAAAGCATGTCACATGACCGAGCCCGAACTCAGCGAGCCAGAGGAGTACGTTCTGCCCATCGTAGGAGAGGAGAGGAAGGAAGATTTGCTGAACCATGATTTGAACCACCACAGAGGGTCATGCTTCAGAGCAGTGGAATCTAAGGGAAAACGAGACGCCAGTGCCACCCAGCCGGAGGAGGCCTGCTACAATGATGACGCCGCTGTGAAGAGAGAAGACAAACAATGGGATCAAATATAAGCCCCAAATTCAAAGTCACAATCAAGAGCCACCACCGCAAACTGATTTACAATCGAGATGCTTCTCAGTTCAACTCCTCAGCATGCTCCGGGGCGAGTAACTGTTGGGATTTATTTAGCCACAATTAACGAACACCAAGGAGGCCTCCGCCACCACTGGGACTCTGTGAGAAATGAACGTGCAAGAAGAAAGAGAGGGCAAAAAAAAAGAAGAGAGAGAGAAGAAATTAAGTATAGTGAAGGCAACAGAATTACGGGTCATTTTTTTCATCGTCATGTTTTGAAATTTCCTTTATTACAGTGTTATGGTCTCTCAAGTCAAATAAAAAGGTTTTTTTTTTTTTTTAAGTTTCAGATGATTGCCCAGCAGCTGTCCAATCGATTCTCCTGCCTGCAGCCACTGTGACTATTTGAAATTGTAAATTTGGTCATGTCTCCACCCAACTGAAAACTCTTCAGAGGCTTCCAATGGTCCTCTCGTTAAACTCCGGTCTCCTTTCTATGGTTTCCTAGAATCTTCTCAACTGGCCCCAGCCTACCTCTCCGGCCTCATCTCTCAGCACTCTCTTTCTTACCCTCTAACCTCCAGATGCTGTAGACATTTTTGTTTGTAATAAAATGTTAGTCTCCTCTCCAGGCCTCGGCACGTGCTGTTCCCTCTTCCTAAGAAACTCTTCCTCTTCTCTTTCTTGTCTGGCTAATCTCCAGCCATCACTTAGGTTTAAGCCATCTCTATGGCTTCGTCAAAGAAGGTTCTGTGACTGACTCCTGCCGTGTGCCCCCAGAGCACCCTCTGCTTCCGCTACGGCACAGTCGACACGCTTTGGCTGGTGCTCCGTCTTCCTCAAGTTCCCACACACCCGTGAAGGCAAGGACCACACGTCTGACCCATTCCCCATCCTATCCTCAGAAGTCACGGTTTCCACCAGTTTTGCTGGAATCCTCTGCCTTCTGCTTCTCAACAGCTGCTCACTCTAATACCAGAGAATTTTCATTGCAAAGGAAATACTATTGAACCTTTTTTGAAATCCATATCAATTCAGTATATCTTTGGTAAGTGGCGCATTATCTCCAACTTCTACTCATTCCTCAAAATTCAGCTCAGATATCACCACTTCCAGGAAGTGCTCTGAGTTGCCAACAACCCCTTCAGGCTAAGCCTTGGAGCCCTCTTTTGTGCTCACAGTGATAACTGTGCACCTTCATCTTAGCACCGACCATAACCTTGCACGTTAAGTTCTCAATAAACATTGGTTGAACTTGGAGAAACGGGACCTAAGAGGCAGGATTCACATGTGACCTCGGCCAGAATCCTCTGTGCCAGCGCTTCCACTGACTTATGGCTGGCTCTTCTTTGAAAGCTATGTGGTACCCTCGAACTGGCACAAACGTTAAATAATGTTCCCACACTGTTGCCTCCTGGCTGGGATGTGAGAGAGGCACACATACACTGCTACAGGCATCTAAAGTGAGAAGATTCCCCAGGTGAATGCAACGGTTCATACGCCAGGTGCTCTAGACACATTAACTCATTTAACCTCCCCTACAACAATCCTCACATCCCTGTAAGATAGCAGAACCATTCCATCACTCCCATGGTGCACATGGGGAAACTGAGGCAAAGAGAGGTTAAGTAACATGATCCAGGTCACACAGCTACTAAGTGGCAGAGTCAGGCACGACAGTCTGGCACAGAGCTTGTGCTCCAACCCACCACGACACTCCCTCCCTGCTGCTACAGTCACGGTGCATCTACGCCCACATCCGGGACTTCTCAGCTCTTGGTTTTTTGGGGTTTTTTTTTTTTAAAGATTGGCACCTGAGCTAACATCTGTTGCCAATCTTCTTTTTCTTCTTCTTCTTCTCCCAAAACCCCCCAGTACATAGTTGTATATTCTAGTTGTAGGTCCTTCTAGTTGTGGCATGTGGGATGCCACCCCAGTGTGGCCTGACAAGCGGTGACATGTCCGCGCCCAGGATCCAAACCAGCGAAACCCCTGGCCACCGAAGTGGAGAGCAGGAACTTAACCGCTCAGCCATGATTATCATTTAATAATAAGTTCACTTCATCATTTTGGGGGGTGTGGGAATACAGTATCGCTTTATCACAGAAGAGAAATAAGATGCTATTTTGAAAAATACAAACCCAATTTGAAAGGTGTTACGGACTGAATTGTATCCTCCTGAAATTCATATGTTGGAGCCCTAACCCCCAGTGAGGCTGTATTTGGAGATGGGGCTTTACAGAGGTAATTAAGGTTAAATGAGGTCATAATGGTGGGGCCCTAATCTGATAAGATCAATGCCCTTATTAAAAAAAAGGAAGAGACACCAGAGATTTCTCTCTCTCTGCTCACACAGAGGAAAGGCCACATGAGCTCACAGTGAGGGGCAGCCATCTACAAGCCAGGAGGAGAGTCCTCACCAGAAACCCACCCTGCTGGCACCCTGAGCTTGGACTTCCAGCCTCCAGAACTGTGAGAAAATAAATGTCTGCTGTTGAAGTCACCCAAACTGTGGTATCTTCTTATGGCAGCCCAAGTAGGCAATGTGCAAAGGAGCCTCATATTTCCAACAAGCTGAGGATCAATCATAAACAGTGAGGGAAAAAAGCATCAGATGTTTGTTGGGTCAAAATCCGATTGCATGAGGGAGCACTCCATTCTGGAATACATCAACTTCTCGTCATCAACAAGAACTATTTGCCAAATATCTACCAACTCTGCCCCCAAGAAGTCTATGGTCTAGTTAGGAAGCCGTGGCATATATTTACCTACATGTGAGCGTGGAGGAATATGTAAGACTGCAAGACAGCGTGTGCCCAAAGAGTGGAACCAACTTCAAGTGGGACCGGGGCTCGGAGGAGGAAGATTCATTTCAAAGACAGTTTTTGGAATATTTAGGATTTGCTGTGCTTCATAAAGAAGGAACAGGCTGCAAATACACAGTTGTGTGGAGTAAGAGATTTACAACAGAGTTCTGGTGCCTGCAGAGTCTGCAAACCCTAAATGCAACTGGTATATTCAACAACCAGTAGGCCCAAGGCCAGTTCTTCAGGATGGGGGGATGGGTAGGGATGCATGCAAAGTTGCGTTTGGGAAGATCATTCTGGAAGCTGAGTGTCGAGTGGACTACTGAAGGGAGAATCTGAAGGCAAGAAGACTAGCTGGGAGAAAGAGCAATAATCCAAAACTGAATTCTAGGGTCTAGGTTAGGCTGGTGGCAATGAAGACCAAAAGGAGCCAAGGTGAGCAGCCTTGAAAAGGAGGAAGTGACAGCCAACCATCCTTGCAACCTCGAATCCTGTCATTCGGCTACACCTCCGGCTGTGCCTCCTCCTGCTGTCTGTCATCAGGGTCTCTTGGGAGGCAACTCATTCACCCAAGACCTGGGCCTTTGACACTTCAGCCCTACTATCCCCTGTCATTAGCGGGTGCTGGAGCAGGCTCGCACCAGTTTGCGAGAGCCAATGGGTAGATTTTCAAGAATTTTGCAAGCTGGCTATTATATCCAGTCATTATTCAAAATTAAATTATGTATACTCACAATTAAATAGATACTATTTAAAACAAGCCTAACAACTCAAAACATATCAGCCCTTAGTTATTCTACTAATTTTGCTATTATCTGATGCTATCTGGTCTTGAGGTCGTTGAGGTCTATTGTCTCCGTCCATTAGCAACATCGCGTCATGGCGTGCTTCTGTGCATCTCTGCCCGACCAGCATTCAGTGGCGTCAGGTTAGCAGCTTGAAATCGAGGGAGCATGTACACCACGGAAACTGGCAGACACTGCACCTTGGGACTTGACTTAGTGTTTTGCTGGATCTCCAGAGTTAAAGGGAAGGAGAAAATGTTACTGCAGATTAAATTCAAAAGCTGCACTGAAGGTGAAAGAAGAGTCGGTTTAATGAGGACAGTTTGTAGGAGGATGAGACACAGTTTTACAAGCGCTCACATAGCAGATTTAAGGACAAATCCGTCGGGAAAAGAGTTAGTGGATTGGGATACAATTCCTATTGTTAAGCCAGGCTGGCCACAGATACAGAAGTTTGGCCAAAATCAATGGAAGCATTCGATGAGAACCAGCTAGGTGCCCAGTATTTACGATAAAGAGTATTGATATTATTAGTGGTAAATCCTGTGCTATACAAACTTTAGATCAGTAAAATTTATAATGAACATATGGATATATCTTTTCATACATTCCCCCCTCCCAAGAAAACCTGTTATTACGTATTTACCAGCACACCACTGCCTACCATCCAGCTCAGCACCCTGACTTAATCTCGACTAAAAGGGAAAT